TATATATATATATATATATATATATATATATATATATATATATATATATATATATATATATATATATATATATATATATATATATATATATATATATGAAGAGTGTATTTTCAAAATGCAGTATATCCATTTTTGTGGTATTGAGATAATTGACTTTTTTCGCCACACCAACATGTCTCGTATATTTGGAAAAATTATTGTTTCTTAATGTATATATACATAAAGTATATTATATGTTAATAAATAAAATATTAATAAATAATTTTTTTTTTTTTTTGTCAATAAGTTTGCATTTATTTTCAAAATACTGTATATCCAATTAAAGCTTGTTAGCAAAATGCGGTGTATCCATTTTATAAAGATGTTATGGAAAGTTTATAAACTTTAAAAGACCTGAATAAGTTTTAATGATTAATTTTATTTAATATATTGAACAAATATGTGTATTTAATGTTTGGTCATTATATTTTATTGATAATGTGAATGTAAACAATGTTCTATTAAAATGTAAACTATTACATTTCATAATTCGCAATTGTAAATTTAAATTTGTTTCGGAGAGTTAAATATGGACAATAAACAATAATATTTTTTTAGTGTTGTGTAGTTGTAACAATGATGATCACTATTTTTAAGTCTCCATAGAATTAATGGACAATTAATATAACATAAAAGTCATTGTTATATTTTTGAACGAAATAAAATTTTAAAAATAAAAGACTGCAATAGCCTCATTTCATTTGCAACAAAGCAATTGTCGGTTTAACAAAAAATAAAAAGAAAGTATTATTATTGAATGCTTTCCATTAAAAAACAGGTAACAAATATATTTAAACTTATTAATTTAAGTTGCCTTTTTAATATATTTCCTATCATTATTCCATAATTAGTTCAGTTGAACAAACAAAGCATGGTAGTTTAAACAAACACTAGAATTAAGAAATACATATCTTTTTTTTTGTTTCATACATTATATCTTTTCTTCTATGTGAAATAGGATCTTAGGTAACGCATTAATCTTGTTCATCGCAATCTGCCATTTCTTTTAACGCAACTTTAAAATATTTGCGCTTGCGCAGAAGCAATATACATTTGCCACGGATTAAATTAAACACCGCATTTTAAAAACAAATAAAAAATTTTATACCGCGTTTTGAAAATAAATGTTTTTTAGAAGTAGAAAAATATTGGGTTATACTTCGTTTAGCATATATTCGGACACAATGTCTGCTAGGTCCTTATAAACTAAAAATAAACCACACAATTTCTAAAAAATTTTTAAAATGGCGTTTACCGCATTTTGAAAATAAACTCTTCATATATATATATATATATATATATATATATATATATATATATATATATATATATATATATATATATATATATATATATATATATACATATATATATATATATATATATATATAATATTTTTTGATTTGTATAACATGTGATACAAATCAAAAAATAAAATTTTAATTTATTGTTAACAGTTAATATCTTAAATAAATCTTAACATAAAATCTTTTGCGTCTTTTTTGTAACTACACATTCCGGAATGATTCTTCTGTAAGAAACTATTTTGTAAATATTCTTACGAAATAATTTGTTTCATAAGTTTTCTTTCATAATGCTTTATTACAGAATTTTATTTATTTATATTTTCATATAGTGCATTACGAAATGTGCATTTTCGCATGTGCGACTTCCCCAATAACAATTCTTTTACGGTAGAGAAAGAAGCGAAATCTTTGCTAGTTTTGTTTTTCAGCGAATAACCCTAATATATACAAGCTTCAGCAGGAGTAAATGAGATGCCCAGATAGTCTTGCACAGGCTTTTTTGAAAAAATTTTGACGTCTTGATGAAATTTTTTTATTCTGAAACTTTATTTTGTTGATTCCTCATGCCAGGTATTGTAAAAATTTTAATTGCAATAATAAATATTTTTTTAGCGATAAAAAGACAGAAAAACAACTTGCAAAACAAAAGAAAAAACATAACATTTTTTTTAATTAATTTTTTATATATAATTTTTATTTAATAATTTAATTCGTCATCAATTATACATCAAATAATTGTTTTATAAAAAAGAAATGATCTTAATTATTTTACTATTTTCATTCATTTCTTTTCTTCATTTTTTATTTTATTATGTTAATTCATTTCTCTTCTTCATTTTTTGTTTTATTATGTTCATTCATTTTTCTTCTTCATTTTTTGTTTTATTATGTTCATTCATTTCTCTTCTTCTTTGTGAATGAAAATGTCATTGTATATAAAAATTTCTACAATTACAATTCTCAAATATTAACGTGTAGGAGAGTGACAAATCATTTAAAACTTTGAATAGTTAGATACTTGTAAAATTGAGATAATAGTTTTTCGAAATTACACTGTAGTTTTTGTCTTTCGCTCAGAGTTATTAGTGTGCGCTCTACTTAGTAAGTTTTTGTCTTTCGCTCAGAGTTATTAGTGTGCGCTCTACTTAGTAAGTTTTTATCTTTCGCTCAGAGTTATTAGTGTGCGCTCTACTTAGTAAGTTTTTATCTTTCGCTCAGAGTTATTAGTGTGCGCTCTACTTAGTAAGTTTTTATCTTTCGCTCAGAGTTATTAATGTGCGCTCTACTTAGTAAGTTTTTATCTTTCGCTCAGAGTTATTAGTGTGCGCTCTACTTAGTAAGTTTTTATCTTTCGCTCAGAGTTATTAGTGTGCGCTCTACTTAGTAAGTTTTTGTCTTTCGCTCAGAGTTATTAGTGTGCGCTCTACTTAGTAAGTTTTTGTTATGGTTTACTTAGTAAGTTTTTGTTTTTGTTTCTTGATTTTTATTCAGACTTTTTTTATTCTCCAGTTTTTCGGATTTTTTTGAGTTTATTTTTTAGACTTTTTTTATTCTCCAGTTTTATCAGTTGTTCGGATTTTTTTGAGTTTATTCCAGATATAATCAAACCAATAATTTGCAAGCAATGCAAAAAATGGCAAACAAACAACAGAAAAGTGACAGAAAATCTTTGCAACCATCACGTTTCTTTATTCAAGCATCTTGACGCTTGCATAAAAAATTTTGCAATAAACGTAGCAATTTCGCAAGATCTATTTGAGAATTATTATATTGTTTTATTAAAATAATGGAATAAAATATAACATTTTTTATTGTGCTTCTTTAGTTAATTCATTTTTCTTACACTTTGTAAATTAAATTACATTTTAAAAATTTAACCCTGATATCTCTAAGCTATAAAGATAGAGTAACAACTATATTGAAATCTTTTTTTAAATAAACCTTGAACCAAAGAGTTCTATTCTTTACAATTGTTTTTCTACTGTTTAGGCTAAAACTTTAATTATTACTATCGTTTCCCTTCAATTTACTATCATACTCTTTTATGAACTCGTAATTGATTCTTTTTCAGAAATTAGGAGATATATGTTATGTTGATGTGATATGTAAATTAAAATTTGAGATAATCTAATTTTTGATTTCTAGTACAAATAGATTTTTTAAGATTCTAGTATATATATACTTCTTAAATATATTCTCCTTAAATATATTCTTTTATAATATAGGCGTGTATAAAAAAAGGCGTTAAATAAATTAAAAAAAAAAAATTTTATTTACAATTATTATGAATAGAACCAATAGAAGGGTATTAAATGCAGTATTATTTTATATATCAGGTTTATTGTTGTAAAATATATTTAAATGTATTAAATATAAAAACGAAAATAAAATATGAAAAAATCATATAGTATTATTTTTATCATGCAAAAGAAATATATATGGTCATAAACTATTTATAAATATTCATTTTAAATAAATTAGCCCAAAATATCTTCAATTTCAAAATCGAATGCAGTTTCTTTGCTCTCACTCCTATCACTTTCACAATATTAGCTTATTAAATAAACTGCTGCCTTTTTCAAAAAAAAAACAACACAAAGTTAACGCAGAACAATACAGGGAAATATGCACTACTTTGAACAACTTTAAAGTATGACAAACTAGTTTATCAATCAATTAAGCAAAATGTATGATTATACAAAAAAGAAATTGTCTTTATTATCTAAGCAAAATGTGTGATTATACAAAAAACAAATTGTCTTGATTAACAGTTCTTATTGTATAAGTTTAAAAATTTCCAAAGAATACTGAAAACCCGTACTATTATGTTAAATGCTTTTGCAACACATACATATTTTGTCTGCTTTTTAACAAACTAATCATTTATCTTTTAACATAACAATAATACGGAACTTTTATAGCTGTTTGAAATAACTTGTTCAATTTTTATTTTTACATCAGAAAATTCAAAAAAAAAAAAACTTTCATAATTTTTTTAGCATTTTTTTACCCTGAATGAAATAGTTTTGTTTTTTAACTAGCAAAACAAACAGTTTCACAAAACTATATCATTTGAGACGTTTTTAAAAGAATAACTAAATAAAAACATAAAAATATTTAACTTTATATTTTGTTTATATTAAGTTTATATTTAGTTTATATATTAAGTTTATATTAAGTTTATATTTTGCATGGGCTTTATTTCACCCATGTAAACTAATTTGCATGGGTGTAATAGCGGGCGCGGGCTATAGCCCGCCATTCCTGCCAAAGCCTCTATATATATATATATATATATATATATATATATATATATATATATATATATATATATATATATATCACATTTACAATCTATTCTCCCTGCAGTTAACTAGAACCTATTCTCCATGTACTCAACTAGAACTATTTTGATTAAGAATGTTGGAATTATTAATTAAAAATGGTAGTGCTTCATTGCAAAGTATGGAAGACATTTTAATAGCAAATACTTCCTTTTTATGTTGACAACTTTTAAATAACATTTATTCTGATTTATAAAATACATAAAGCAAAAAAAATATTTTACTTATATCTTAAAAAAGCTTACTATCTCATTATATAAATATATTGTCTAAAGTTATATGAAAGAAACAACAAAAATTTGTTACTTACGCAGAAATATCTAATATATAAGCGCTAATTTGCTCTGGTTCATATGCTCTTGCAAAAGACCAGCATACATAACAAGCAGCATCCCGCACATGTGAACCTATGTTCAATGTACAGTTATTTTTATAGAAATTAATTTAAAATAACTTAACAAAATGCACAAGATTTCAGAAAAGAATACTAAAAAAAAAAAAAATTGTAAAAAAATAACAAGCAACTTTCCAATACTATAATAAACTTGTTTACATGATTTGAATAACAGTAACAATGAATAACAGTAACTAAGTAACAAACACTTGCCAACACTATAGTAAATAAAGTAAACACTTGCCAACACTATAGGAACCTCTTCTTTCATCATACATCAATGCCTTTAAAATTATGGGTACAACTAAAAAAATAAAAAATAAATATTAAAATATTAAAAAGATGCATGAGAAATATGTAAAAACTTTTTATGTAAAGAGAAAACTTCTAGTAGCCTGGTACCTACCATCGGAAAGTCTGTTTGGAAGTAACAGCCCTCTCCTTCCAAGTTCAGCCAGAGCCAAACATCCTTAAAACAGTTGTATTAAATACATACATACATACATACATACATACATACATACATACATAAAAACATACCATCATTCAACATACATAACACACATACATAAAATACATAAAAACATACCACCATGCCACGCTGAATCTAACTCAGCAAAACTAAAAACAGAAAAAATAGTTAATAAAAGATTTCATAAAAACTCAAGAAAAACTTAAATAGATTACATGCTGTATAGTACTGTAACATGATCGTAATGCATAAAATAACAAACAAACAAAAAAAACTGAAGTAGCAGAAATGAACTAGCAGAACTAAAAAAAAAAAAAAAAAAAAAAAAAACTTACAATATATCAACATACATACAACAATATAATAGTATATAACATTATAACATACAACATTACAGCATATAATATAAGAACATAGAACATTGTGAAATACTTAAAACAGTATTTAATACTTATAACAATATAATATATTATAAAATACATTGTTATATGCGTTAGTGGTAGAAAGCTTGCTTTATAAGCAAGAAGTTACAAGCTTGATCCCCACCACATCCTTGTTAGTTCAGCGCTCAACCTGTTTCTCCATGTAATAGCCTTGTTCATCAAAGTTCATGTTTCAGAATTATAGAGTTGAGAGAAGATTGTAACCACAATTAAAGTAGCCTCCTAAACTGTATGGTCTTCTTGGCTTTAAGAGGTGAATTAACATTAAAAAATATATATATAATTAAATATTATAAATAAAATGTTTTATTTGTACAATAATATTAACTATTATTATCTTTATTAGAAATATTCAAATTATTTTATTTTTTTACAACCTGCAGACAGGAAAATACAAACAGAAACCTAGAGTAGAAACCTATAGACAGGAAGCAACAGACAGAAACATACAGACAGAAACCTACATGCAGAAACCTTCAGACAGGAACCTACAGAGTATAGAGTACTAGGTATAGAGTATTAAACAAAAATTAAGATAAAAATGGGAATAAGATAGGAATTCTCTTAACTATAAATAAAATAAGCACTTTAAACTTAAAAAAATCTAACTTTTACATAAAGAAGCAAAAATGAAACTGTAAAATAAGAGAAAATAAATGAAAAAAGATTTTTGAAGGGAAACTAGTTTTACAGATAAAAAAAAAAAAAAAATCGCTATCTGTTACTATCGCTATCTGTTACTATCGCTATCTGTTACTCAACTAATCAACCAGGTGCTTGAATATTTTCTTAAAACCACCTCATATGCCTACCTAACTAGATGGCTCTGTTGGTCACTTGCGAGCAATCATAGTGCAGCAAAAAAAATTATTATATTGAGACTGGTGAGCCACAACCTCTTCCATTATACTACAATATGACAATACAGACATTAAGCTATCCCGTTGGATGTGGCTTAGCTGCTTGAAACCTAATGAATATACCAGACACATATTCATTTGGAAGCTGCAAAATGCAAATCTGATCAGTGCTTGCTATGTATTTTAGGCAAAAATATCACTTCATAGATCATGCCATACCAATACAAGGTCTAAGCTCTTTTAACTAAGAGTGGCAGTTTTAATAAATTGAAATATTAAGTAATCAATTGAAAGACTAAGTGTGTGCATTCGATCAATTGAAATTTTGTAGACCTTACATTTATAATACTTAATAAATTATAATTTTATGTTTACATTAATTTTTCATTAAATACATTTATATATTTTTAAACTCTAATTTACTTCCAACAAGACTGCAAGCAACCACTATTAAGTTATGAGTTACTCTAAAATAAAGAAAAAGTTAAAATACTTGGAAACGTATAAATGAAGACTTGAAAAGTTGTAAGTTGTATAAAAAAGGAAAACATGAAGTTAATGATGTTTTGATGTTTAAAAAACTGGATTTAAAAACTGGATTTAAAAACTGGATTTAAAAAAATGATTTTATAGCATGAAGGGACAGATACAGTAAAAAGATGCAACTTGTTGAATAAAAAGCCAAGCAAGAATGAGTTTTGGTTTATCATTATAGAGATGATAACTCGTTTGAGCATTGACTATGATTGCATTTGTAGAAAAAAGAAAGAAATGCAACCTTACAACAATGGAAGAGTGGCTCAAGCTCGGCAGATAAAGCAGGTCTAGTTACGTTTACAATGTGCTTTTAGACTTTGTCTGAGAGTAAGGGGGTCGTTAATCGTCAATAGGAATGCAATATTTTTTTGCAGTGAATAAATGAGTTTTGTTGTCTAACAAAAACTGTGGATTTTAAGTCCAGAATTTAAATCCATAAACCACTGCAAGCCTTAGACTGTTACAGAAGAGAGATCAGATTTAAAATCTAATCTTGTTCTAAGAAATTAAAAAGTAAAGATTTTTTGTCAAGACAAGACAATAAAGTTGAGTTGTCAGCAAATAGTGCAACTTTAGATTTCATGAAGATTGTTATTGTAGATAAGAAATAATACAGGAGTAAATATAGAACTTTGTGGTACACTTAAAGTTACTTGAAATAAAGATGAGGGTTGGCCTTCAGGAACAACTTTACTACTGCAGTTAGAAAAAAAACAATTTAATAACATAAAAACCTTTATAACAAGAAACTAATAATAAAGTGAAGACTAGTTAAAGATAGTTGGAGAGGTCAAACAGTTTTCTAGTGTTTTGAAAAATTGCAACCACTTATTTAACTAGTTAGGCAAAAATTGAAGAGAGTTCTGGAGAGCACTTTTTCAAAACTTTTTCATGATGGAAATCTTGAACTGTCAGGATGAGTATGGCCATTATATTCAAGGGTCAAATTAGAGTATTATTCTAGGAAGAAGTAAAAAGATCAGACCCATGAATTAGAAATTAAATGTTAGACTTACTTTAGTTTATGACACTGTTGAAGACTAACCAAAAGTCTCTAGAACCTAAGATCTGAGATAAGTTACAAGATTTAGTAATAAAAGCTTCCAAACTTTTATTCCAGAAGGAATAAAAGCTTCCAAGATGCATTTCTGCATGCATATTATGGATATAAACATATCTGTTTGCTATTTATTCAGATGCTGGCATACAATATCTTTTTATTGGTATATAAACTTTAGTGTTTGTATGATGTAGTATTTGCCGAAAGAGAAGATGATCAGATGTGTGGTGTGACTCCAGCAAGACAAGAAAAGGAAGCATAATCATAACGTTTGTTAGAAAAGATTAAAGAAATTTAGGTATCAGCATGTAGATAGGTAGCAGCTTCAGTAGAAAATGGTAGTGGTAAAATTAATAAAATTTGAGGAGAGTGCCTTACATATTGTATGAATGGGCTTTAGTTAGAAAAAAAATGTGCTCTAAATTGTTTATATTAGATAAACAGCATAAAAAAGAAAGGCTAAAGCCTGATGATGATGATGATGATGATGATGATGATGATGATCATCATCATCATCATCATCATGATGATGATGAAAGAAAATTAAAATGATTTACAGAAATTAAAACAGATAAACAAGCAAATAAACAGTAATTTAAAATATTTTATTTGAGTTATATTTTTTGTTGAAAAAAAAAGTTAAAACAATGCTAAAACAAAAATTACATTAACCCCTTAACTGTAAATAGAGTGTAGCTCTATTTGTGACTGACATATATATCCCTTTAAAGGAAATTGTAGGCTTGTATGTGTTTGACGGATATTTTCGCATCTTGGAACTGTTCCACAGTTTGTGACTGACGGATATTTCCATTTTTTATATGAGTTAAATAACAGATTAGATATGACATGTTAAATGGATCTTTGTTTACTCATATTATGTAATAGCTTTTAACAAAAGTATAGTCTTTATTTTATACTCTAGAGTTTTTAAAATATAGCTAATAGCTTTATATGACAATGCTTAAATTTAGTGAAAAAGTAACCATGGCTTCGGCAAGAAAATCTTATCATAAAAGAAGTAACTATTCAATTCAAGATCTTATTGAATATATGGGAGAAAGTGATGAATTATCTGATCTCAGTTCTAATTTTGGTTCTTCTAATGAAGGTTCAATTAAATCTGTTACAGAAGAAGAAATTATTTTCTCATCAGCAGATGATGATAGTGAAACTGGCCTTGTTGACATTGATGTCATGCAATTAGATGGAGATAATATTATAATATATAATTGTTAAATACCATGAATCAATTGAGAAAAAAACAATTCGAACTTAAGTATATTAGTAAATAAGTCGAACTCGAGAAAAAATAAGTCAAGTTTTACCTTCTCTTTTAAGATTAATAGAACGTCATTTGTTGATGCTATACAAGCAACAGAAAAAAATATGAAACCAAGTAGAAAGTGTGTTGTCTGCTCTGAAAACAAGGTTAGATCAGATACCCAATATATGTCTAGACTGTAATATTGGTTTGTGTGTTGTGCCTTGTTTTAAGCATTACCATACAAAAAAAAACTTTAAAGGTTTTTGTAAATAGTTAAACTTTTGTTATTATATTTTAAATATTTTACAAATCTGTGTTTTATCTTTTTATTGCCTGTAAAATTTTATTTAGTTTTTCATTAGTATTATTATCAAAAAATTTGAAATGGTTTTTTTTTTTTTTTTTTTACAATTTTAGTTTATTAAACAAAAAATAATTAAACAACTTAAAGAAATCGCGAACCAATGCCACAGTTAAGGGGTTAAAAACTGCAATATAAATATATATATATATATATATATATATATATATATATATATATATATATATATATATATATATATATATTTATATATAACCTTTTCATTCATTATTCTTCATTTTCCCTCATCGTTTTCTCACGATGCTCACTTAAATTAGGCTAGCGAAAAAAGTAAGCAATTGCGCATATAAATATGCTATAGTAGATATATATATATTTTTTCTCACACGTAAAGGCCGTAATTGGTATAATTAAGCCAAGTTGTTATTAATTGCCTGCAAAATTATCTAAGGTAAGATTTAATGAGTTTGTTTCTTAATTGAATTTGTTGTAATTTCCATGATATTTACAAATAAATCTATCAAATAAGTAATATGAATGATAATAGAGAATGAATGTAATTGTCAAATGTTGTTTTTTGCATTATTGAACAATATATTATTAGTTTTTACCTATACTGTACACGTACAGGTGTGAAATGCAGGTGTAATAATAGAATTGATATTTTGGAGTTGTGACTGGATGGCTCGAACACCTGAACTATCAGCTACTAAAAGAACCCAGGTAGAAATATTGAGATTGCAACAGAAGAGTTTTCGAGAAATTCGAAAAATTTTTAAAATATCAGCAAGATCTGCATACAAAATACACAAGAAGATCAAGGAAACTAACACATACTTATCACGACGTCGAAGTGGCAGAAAAAAAAAACGACACCATACGATGATAGACTTATTCGAAGGATTACGATAAATTCTCCAAGCATAACATCAGCGGCAATTAGAAGTAGACTCCCGGAAAGTTGCAAAAATATAAGTACTAAAACTATTCGTGGAAGATTATTTGCACATGGATTGAAAAGCTTTAAACCAAGCTATTATCAGCAAAGAATATTAAAGATCGCTCAAAGTTTTGTAACAGGTACAAACACTGGCGTAAGGCTGATTAGGAACGCGTCATGTTCAGCAACAAGTCAACCTTCACGCAGTTTGCTTGCTATGCTTATATCAGCATTTGGTCATGCAGGTTTATGGGACATGCCAGATGGATCTACTATTAATGGCAATGTTTACTTAAACATTCTCAAGAAAAAATTATGAATAAATTATAAATTATTCAAAGAACAACCCCACATCACAAGCTGACCTTCTGGATAAAATCAAGCAAGCCTGGACAACAGAAATTACTGCAGATTATTGTCTTTCCCTTATTCATTCAATGCCGCATCATATTGAAGCTGTGTTAAAAAGTCATGGTGGCCATACTAAATACTGAAAATATTGATTATGCTATAATATGTTGGTGCTATGAACTGTTTTAGTCTGCTAATGTTGGTGCTTTATTTGTAAAATCATTTTATTTCAATTTATTGAAGTTTAACCATGTTACTAATAAAACAATGATTTTTTGCTAATTTCTAGTGCGTTTCCAAACTTTTGTCCAAGACTATATATATATATATATATATATATATATATATATATATATATATATATATATATATATATATATATATATATATATATATATATTATTATTATTATTATTATTATTATTTAGTAGTACATCTTTTTCAATAACTTATTATTTTAAATTTTAAGAAAATGTTTAACTAACTTAAATAATTCTAAAAGGGAACCAACAACTTCATCAGCCAACTCTTGAGGTAATCGCCCAGTGATTCTTCCAATACTAAAAACAAATAAACACAAAAAATAATAATAACAAACTCATAAATAGTTTTAACTTAACATTTTCAAAAAAAAAAAGAACTCTACAAAAAATTTTTAAAACTCTCATTCAATTTTGGGTAATAACAATCAAGTTTTAACAACAATTAAGTTTTAATAACAATTAGGTTTTAATAACAAACCAAGTTTTAATATTAAACCCAGTTTTAATATTAAATAAAAAACCAAGTTTTAATATTAAACCCAGTTTTAATTACAAACCAAGTTTTGATATTAAACCAAGTTTTAAATACAAATTGATTATTAGTATAATTATTTAATAGAAATTATTTTAAACCAGAAGATCATGATTTGTTGAACTGGAAAACATTACATGATTTTAAAAACATGACTTTAAAAAAAGTACATTATCAAGTAAAAAAAAATGTTTTTACTGTGATATCACCATTAACCCTTTCACTCCCGGAATTCTTTCCGCTATTAGAGATTTGCTCATTAATTTAAGCAAATCTCTAACAGCAGAATTATTATTTAACATGAGCAAATCTCTGTGAAACCTTTTTACTAATACATTGATCAAATAAAATAATTTTAAAAAAATCATTTATTACACTTGTAAGACGTCGCATGACTTCAAAAACAGTCTTCAACATAAATCAAAATTTTGCATTTTTTGCAGTAAAAATAAAAAAATAATAAAAAAAAAATCAAAATATAAAAAAATATAAAAAAATAAAACTTGTTTAAATATAGTTTAGCAATCATTTAACTAGTTCATAACAAAAAAAATAAAAGGTTTATTATAAAAACTCTAAAAACTGAAGAAATTCTAAAAATATGAGAATTTTTATAAATTTGTTCATTTTTAAGATGAATTTTGTATTATGTAGTATGAATGTAAGATTAGAGTTGCAAAAAAAGTGGTTTTTTTGGGTTTTTTAGTGTTGTTTTTTAGTGTTGAGAAACAAGTTGATGACCATTAAAATCACTATTAGATGTATAAACACCAATTTAACATAAAATTTTAATAACAAAGTTAAATTAGCTTTAAGTTAGTTATATATCTAGGCATACTGTACGAAAACATTTTTTTTTTTTTGCTTTGTTGTACTAACAACTGTGATACTTTCATTATATATATAAACTATTCTTATCCTATAAGAAAGTTACCATTTTAATTTTGATAATGTAAATATATTACTATATAATACCATGCAAATTTAATATCAGACTTCAAATGCTCAAAAAAATAAGCAATCTATTAAGTTTACTTATTTGAGCATTTGTATATTGTGTAGTAATACCATGCAAATTTAATATCAGACTTCAAATGCTCAAAAAAATAAGCAATCTATTAAGTTTACTTATTTGAGCATTTGTATATTGTGTAGTAATTTAGTCTTACATTGTTTGTTTGTTATATTTGTCAAAATAATATATATTGCTAGTAGGCCTTTATAAAAAAAAGCCTTATTTGAACTTAATTTCAAGGAAAATTTAAAAATTTTAAATTATTATTATTTACGGAGTTTCCCAGACCACCTTCACCTGATGATTTGTAATTTATTTATTTGTAATTTTTTTTTTTTTATTTGCATTTTTTTCTAATTACATGATCTAGACATTTTCATATAGCACTATGCAAACATTTGCAAAATTCTTTAACATGCTTTGTTTTGTCAAGTCCAATTTTCAGACATAATCTTATGGCAAAAAGATCATTTAACTTTTTCCATTTTGCTAATTTGGTTCAGAGGTTTAAATAAATGGGTGAATAAAGTTTTATTTCTTCCCTATGTGTGGAGATCCTAATCATAAATGATTACCAACAAGAAGAACAAAAAGAAACCACTCAATAATTTAAAGATATCCTTTCTCTTTATATATATGCATGTATATATAGATATTATGGTGCTTTAAAACCTTTAGATAGAAAATCACTACTCAGTGTTGTTAATGTTATCTTTGTATTAATCTATTTTTCTGCAGTAGAAAAACTGTAGCTTTTCTACTGCAGAAAAGCTACAGTTTTTATATTAAAGTTAAAAAACATTAAATTCTATAAGTTTCTTGATATCTTTGTTTAATTTTTTTTTTTTTGCAACAGATTTATATAAAATTTCCCTTCATTTGAGTAATAAGTAATACCTTTTTAATATAAACATTTTTTAAACGATATCAGGGACCTGTTGAATAGAAAATGAGCTTAAGCAATATTTGAAAATTAAGCTTAAATTACAACAGCACATAAAAAAAACTGAGTTTTGATTTTTTATCTAAAAGGTGGAGGGGAGGGGGGGGGAAGGAAATATATATATCAACCCTCGGAATTAGAAAAAATAAGGTTGGCAATAATTTCCCGACCTCAATTTTTTTGAGGTCGGCATCAGGTTGGCAAAAATTATTTGATACAAAGGTCTGACCATAAAACATAGAAAAAAAATTGCCGAATGCCAACCCTAATTCCGAGGGTTGATATATAAATATAAATATATATAAATATATATATATATATATATATATATATATATATATATATATATATATATATATATATATATATATATATATATATATAAAGCTTTTAACAAAGTTTACATGCTGGTCTTCTCTATGAGCTTGTTTTAAATTTTGTATCTGATTATCAAATCATTTCTTTCTAACTGCTTTATTAAAATCATCCTCGAAGGCTTACTTATATCTTTCCAGTAACTTCTGGGGTACCTCAAGGTTCTATTCTTGGTCCTGTTTTGTTTTTTATCTACATTATTGATCTTCCTAACAATCCTATATCTAAAGTAGCTCTTTTTGCTGATAACTCAAGTTTTTACTCCTGTCTTGACAAAAAGTCTTCTTATTTTGATCGCTTAGAACTGGCAGCCAAGTTTGAATCTGATCTCACTTCTGCAACAGATTGGGGCTCACATATTTTGGTTTGTAAATTTTAACTCCAACAAAACAACTACCACAATACTGTCGACATTCCTATATTACAAAATGGCAACACTTTCACTGAGTCCTCTTTTTTACATCTTCTTGGATTATTGTTTACTACTGACCTTTTATGTAAACAAAATATACAATCAATTGCTAAATTAACATCCCTTTATCATGAACATAATTTTCTTACTCTTGATTCCAATATCTACCTCTACAAATCTCTTATTTGTCCTGTATGGAGTGGTCTTCATATTTGGGCTGGTTCTTCTAATGATGCTCTTTTTCTTCTAAACAAGGTCCAAAAACGCATTGTAAACATAGTTGGAACCGCTCTATCTGTTAAGCTTAAGCCTCTTTCCCATTGTCGCAAAGTTGCATCTCTTTCTTTTTTCTACATATTCTATCATAGTCGCTGCTCAAAAGAGTTATCATCTCTAGTTCCATCTACAAAAACTGATTCTTGCTTGACTCATCATTCAGCTAAGTCTCATTCATTAATTGTTAAATCTAATTAAATATAATAAATGTAAATAAACAATATTTATTGTGTCAATATACACTAAAACTAATAAAAATAAAATTGAGGAAGATAAAATTATCTAAGAAGTTTTTATACAGAACTACTTTAACTGTGTAAACCTTTAAGCATACCAAAATAAAAATAATTTCAGTAAATTTCAGCATTAATTGTCCTATCAAAATCAGAAATTAAAATATGAACCAAAAAAATACATCACATCTCTATTTAATATAAAAGATTAAGTCTACTTAAGCAAATAAAACAAACTACAATAAATAATTAACTGGTAAAGTAAGTGGTAAGCTTCAATACAAGTATCTGGGTAAAGCACTGGTTCAGATGGGCAACACCTACCAACATATGTAGCTTTCAGTGGTTTACACATTTAGTTGATATTTTTCTTCTTACAAAGCACACTCTACATCTTTTGGTTGGTCTTTAATCTAAAGAATTTGGTGAAACTACTTTGAGTGAAGGAAAGTGTCTGCCAATAAGACAAGACATTGTATCATCTAGTATTTGGTTATTTGGTATAGCTGGATTGATTAGTACTAAAGATGAAATACTGTCAAGAAATCTAGGAATGTTATTTTAGATTTACCAGTGAAATCTCACTGAAATATCACCTGTGAAATCATTCTGAATGCTAATTTTTTGTACCACTTATAAGTTTTACGCAATGTGTGTAAACTATGTAACTGTTGGACAACTCTGTCAACCCCTCCCATGTGACTATTATATAACTGTACTACTGATAGTTTGTATATTGCAGAGTCATTTGCATAGGTTTTACCAGTGTTTGCAGAATGGCAAGTCGACAACATATATACAACTTTCTGCTTAATTCCTGACTTATTTTTGACAGTTTGATATTTACATGAAATAACACATGAATCAACTACGGAGTGATAGAATACAGCTTCCCTTTTTTCTAATGTAAGCTCTGCAATTTCTTTACATTACTTTTTCTATTTGATTTAACTGTTTCATAAAGGTTTGTATTTCTTTCTAAAAGAAAAATTGCTAATGAAGGGCTTGTGTAGTAGTTATCTGTAAACAATATATGACCTTTGTCAAAAAAAGGTTGCACCAGTGCAGCTAGTTTTTGCTCAGTGCTGGGTACATCCTTTTCTAGTTAGTAGCTAGTTTTCGCTCAGTGCTGGGTACATTTCCGTCTTCATGAAACATACCTTTATCACAATATATAAAAAAATCTAGGGTTATTCCACTTGATGTGGTCAATTCATAAAATTTTATGCCAAAGTGTGCTCTTTCTGTACAAATATATTGCCTAAAATGCAACCATTCTTTAAAAAGAACAAGTGATTCATCAACACTAAAACTTTGTCCGGGACAAAATACATTTTTACATCTGTCTCTAATAAGTTCTATTAATGGTTGTACTTTATGATGTTTTCATGTTGATTTTAAATCAATTCCTTGTTGAATTATTTTTGCAACTCTAGCATTGGATTGTTTTTTTCTACCACATGGCCTTCCTTTACAACCTTGATTAGTAACTTGAAACGTTTGATTTCTAT